CCTGACATTGCATATTCAGTCCAAGCTCTAAGCCAGCACATGTCTGCTCCAACTCAGCAGCATCTCAGCTCTGCACACAGAGTACTCAGGTACATCAAGGGTACCCTTGGTAAAGGTATCCTTTTCCACAGAAGTTCTTCTTTACATATTAATGCATTTTCAGACAGTGATTGGGCTTCTTGTTTGGACACAAGAAAGAGCATCACTGCTTATTTAGTCTTTATTGGAAACTCTCTTGTCTCTTGGAAGTCCAAGAAACAACCTACTATCAGTAGGTCTTCAGCTGAAGCTGAATATAGAGCTTTAGCTGCTACTAGCTGTGAAATTCAATGGATAATTAATATATGTAAAGAATTGGGTATTACTTTTGCTTCTCCTGCCTCAGTCTTTACAGATAGCAAGTCAGCTCAAGCAATGGCCACAAATCCCATTCTACATGAAAGGACCAAGCACATTGAACTGGACTGTCACTTAATAAGAGAGAAAATTGCTTCTGGTGTATTGCAGCTCCAACACATCAACACCAAGGAGCAACCTGCAGATTTTCTCACTAAACCACTACCTGGCCCTTTGTTCCATCATCTCCTTTCCAAGTTGAGCATGCCTAATATCCATGCTCCTCTTGCGGGGGGTAATAGAGTATATAATTTTCCTTTTAACACTTTTGTAATAAGATGTATAAAGTGTGTTTTACCTTTTCTAGTTGGTTTTCTATTAGCACTTTTAGTATTAATAAGTAGAGTATAAATAAGGGTTTTCCCTTCATTCTGTAATCACTTTTCATTCCCCGTAACCCTAATATACAAACGCAGTTTTTCTTCTTCATTGTTCTTCGACTCTCTCTTGTGTTCATATCTCAATTTGTAGATCTATAAATCTGATAATAATATTTTATTATTATTATTATTATTATTATTATTATTATTATTATTATTGTTGTTGTTGTTGTTGTTGTTGTTATGAATTTTCTAAAAACTCGTGTGGATTAGATATTAGTTATATTAATTTATAAGATAAAAAAATTTCTGGAAATTAGAATGTACATTATACCCCTCTGTATTTATGTCTATTTTCTATTATTTCAGATTAATTAAATTAAGTAGGGAAGAAAATATTTATTCACGAAAGCTGATTAATAAATTATTTCTTGTTTTTGTTGCGGGAAAATAAAATACCGATAGAACTTTTGCAAAATGGATGGATTTGTCCCATATTTAACATCTTTTATTTTTGTAAACTGAAATTTAATGGAAAATTAATTAATTATCGAAAATAAATAAATAAATAAATAAATTTTCGTATTTCAACAACATTTATTTCCTTGGGATTTGTTGATTTTTCCAAAATAAATAAATAATTAAATAAAATAAAAAATACTAAGAGAAAAAGAAATATAATGACTATAATTTCTAACCAAAAAGAAAAAAAAAATCATACTACCTTTTATTCTTTTTAAATGTCATTATGACATTAGCAACTATTAACAAAATAAATATCGTTTTGGATATTTTGTACATATTTTTCTATTATTACCCTCGTCTAGCTAATAATTACACTACGTCTTTTCATATTCATTCTTCATCTTTTCTCAAAACATTCATCTCTATCCAATTAGTAAAGGTTATTATTGAAAAAAAAATATTTTACTCCCTCCTATTCATTATAAATGTCGTTTTGACTTTTTTGATTCATCCATTTTGTTATGTATCTAGATATATTAATGTTTAGATACATAACAAAATGGATGAATCACAAAAGTCAAAACGACATTTATAATGAACAGGAGGTAGTAATAACTATACAACTTTTCAAAACGACACGCGAATAATTGAAGAAGTATAGATTTCACACAAAGTCACAAACACACCTTCCTAAGAATTTTGAAAACTTGAGAGAAAGAAAGATGGAATCTTTGCCTTAAACCTACTGCTCTCTCTCTCTCTCTCTCTCTCTCTCTCTCTCGTTTCTTGAAAATGCACCACAAACCTTTTCACCACCGTCAGTTAATTGCTTTTAACAACACAGAAACCATAAAATCTTCTTCTCTTCTGTGTTTTTAATCAGATCCCTTATCTGGGCCTCGCGCAGTTAATCTTGTTTACCACATTGGAGATTAATCAGGTTTGTTAAATTCTTCATTTTTCGATGCTCGATTGTGTTTTGTGCTGATTCTTAGTGGGCTCTTACCCGTTGTGTTCTATCTATGCCACAGCTGCTTCATTTTCTCATTTAAGTTTAATTTCCTAATTTTTTTTTTCATGTTTTCTTTGCTGAGCTTTGGGGATTCTTGATTTCATGTCGGAGAAAACGAGGAAATTGTTTGACATGACCTTTTTTTCTTTGTTATAACAGCTTGGGTTGATGTTTTATGGGAAAAAGCTGTGATCTTTATGGCTACATTGTATAGAATTGGGTTAACGAGATGATGATATCTGAAACCCTAGAAACAGGGTTTTGTGGATTGTAAACCGAGCCGGACGTCGAAAAGCCTTGTAATAAATTCCCTGAAGGAATGGATTCTGTTTCTGTATGTAATATAGATAGTAATTGTACGGCTGACGTTAATAACGGTCGTCCGGATGTAAATGCTGTTAAATTAGCTGGAAATTTAGGTCAAGGGAGCACAAGAGAATCTATGGTGTGTGATGAAGTTGCTGGAAATAGTGAGTTGTATAAAGGGCTCGGTGTGGATAATTTATATGATCATAAGACGCCAATTTTAGCGAATGGCGACCGAATAATTAATAAAGAGATGCCGAATTTGAAAGGGGACTCGAAATTACACGGAAATAAGGAAATTCAAACTGGGAAGCTTGAGGAGCTTGTCGGGGAAAGTGATGACTCGGTTCTTTCTCCCGAGCCCAGTTCACCCACAGAGATAGAATTTTCCGGAGATGGTATTAACTTGTTCGTGGAGGTTTTTGGTCCTTTAGATGGTCTGTCTGAGGGTAATGACAATAGCAGTGTGAAGGAGGAAGTTGAAGAGTGTTCGCTTGAAAATAATGAAAATATTAAACGATTGATTTTCAATAATGAGAGGGAGAACAAAGTCGATGAACAGGACTGCACGTTCGATGTGGGAGACTTGGTTTGGGCTAAAACCCGAACACCGATTTGGTGGCCCGGGATAATAACCGATCCTTCGAGTGACGAAACAAAATCTGAAAAAAAGGGTGCCTACCTCGTCAAATGCTTTGGACCTTCAACTCTCGTTTGGCGCAATAATTCGGACTTGAAGCCTTTTATCGAGTATTATGAACAGTTATCGGGTCAGAACACTTCTAGAAGCTTCTGTGGTTCGGTCGAGAAGGCTCTGTTTGAGGTCGGTCAGCGTGTGAAGTCGAAGATGACGTGCCCTTGCTTTTCAAAAGAAAGCTTTAATCCCAAGTCTACAAATGGTAAAACTGATGATGATGTTCTATCCTTGTCTGGCTTTAATCCCACGTCATTCTTGACGGGCATCCAGAATTTCGCCAGCTTAGCTTGTTCGCCTGGTAAAATCGAGTTCATCGTGGCGAAAAATCGTCTCTCGTCGTTTTACCGTTCGACTGGTCATCGTGAGCTGTCTATGGAAGTGCTCTGTGCTCGGGATGGGTTGTTATGTGAAGTCAAAGTTGAAGGCCGTGAAAAATCCTCGAGGGCTAAAAAGAAGAGAAACCCGAGTGATTATGATGACCTTGCTTCTGCTGATAAAGTATCTTCCAGTAAAGGCTCCGAATCTCGGGAAAGGAAAAGGAGCAAATTTTTATCCTATCCTTTTGAAGATCTGAAGCATGGTTCGAGTTCAATGAAGAAAAAGTCGAAAAAATCTATGCAAGTGCGTCATGTCGTGAGTAAAGCAGACGACATTAATGCTCCTTCAAACGAATTGCTGGCTGAACTCCGCTCGGCGGTTTGTGATCCCTTTTATCTCGAGGGAAGCAAATATTCCGATTCGTTAAAAAGATTTTACTATAGTTTTAGGTCGTATGCTTTTCTGGATGCTGATATAGGCGATAAGGAGGCTCGAGCCAAGCAGGTAACGAAATCCGAGAGGAACCATCCCAATAATTCTTGCAAGGAAACTAAAGCGGTGAAGAAAAAAACTAAAGTGCTGAAACAAGAATCTGAAAATTCAAGCTCGAATCTTGATTCCGTCAAAAAATCACCGAAAATGGATAATCCAGAAGCTTGCAAGGAAGCTAAAGCGCCGAAGAAGAAAACTAAGGTGCCGAAACAAGAATCTGAAAAATCAAGCTCGAATCTTGATTTCGTTCACACATTACCGGAAGTGAATAATTTAGAAGCTTGCAAGGAAACTAAAGCACTGGAGATAACAACTAAGGCGCTGAAACAAGAATCTGAAAATTCAAGCTCGATTCTTGATCCCGTCAGCAAATTACCAAATATAGATAATCCAGAAGCAAAAGGAAGTAGTGTCTTACATACGAGTGCAGAAAAAGTGGAGCTATGGGTCACATCAGCTGGTTTGGAGTTGAAAAGCTCCCTGGGTTTGGGCACAAATGTTAATAATCACAATGGTTCATGTATGATTAGCTTCCTCCAGCCTAGCCCCGATAAGAATAATAACGAGCCGAACCACCCACTTTCAGGATTGCCCGACTTGAACAAAAACAGCCCTTTCCCAGACGAGCAGGTTCCACTCAGCGAGCATTCACGAATATCAAAAATCGGTCTTGATCGGTCATCCTTTTCATCCTCAACACCTTCAAAAGAGGCGGTGGGACCCACTCCTTCCCCAAATATCCAGCAATTCACTAATGGCGTCATGAGTACTTGGCCTGGCCTGTTTGCTGTACAGCCTCCGCCCCCCAAAATGGAGAGATTTTTTTCCCCCCAAACGGAATTCGATAAAGGAAAAGCAGAGGAAATCAACAAAGCGTCTCGATTTCCCAATGGGGTCGAGAATTTACCTGGAGCAAACCCACCGCCGGTACAAACCACCGCTGCCCCCGGTGGAACTAACGTCTCGTCGTCAGACGGAAAGCAGCCGCAAAAACGGGCCCGCAAGGAAGATCCAGGTGGCAGCCTTGTCTTGAAATTCGAGCCGGGTTTTCCCCTGCCTTCCCCCGAAACACTGTCCGCAAAATTCTCGCGGTACGGTTTGGTGAAGAAGTCCGAAATACGTGCCCTTGACGAGACGAGCGTTGAGATCCCTTACGTAAGGACACCCGATTTGTGTTTTGCCCATCGGAGCCTAGAGAGCAGCGAACACCCGTTCGGGAAGGCCCTCGTGGGCTTCGAGCTAAACTGTCCCCACTTGAAGCTGGAGAAAAAGCCGCGAAAAAGCCCAGTTCTCACGGTTGGGCCCATGACCAAGATGCCAGTTTGGCGTGCGTTGGAGATGCCCAGGATGCCAGCTAGGCCCGTCGAGGTGGCGCACAGGGTGCCAGCTGGGCCTGCGGCTGGGGCTCCGCCCGATATTGCATTTATGAAGAAGAATGTTGAGATGATGAAATCGACTCTGGAGAAAATGGGGGATGAGATCCAGCCGGACGTGAGAGCTAAGTTGGAGAATGAGATTCGGGCTTTTCTCGACAAGATCGCGAATGTGACCGGCAGCTCGTCCTCAACTTGAGCTCGACGGGTCCGAACCGGGTCATCTCCAGCATTTTGGAGGCGAGTTGACCTTTTTTTTTT